TGTATATTGTACATACCCTACACCCTGTCTGTTATACAGTAATATATTGCATAAAATGTTACCTTTAATGGTATTGGAGAGCCATAAATTGAGCGATAATATGCTGCTTCATTGCGTGCAATACCAACAATCTTAAATTAAAAAAATAAGGCATTAGTCTTTCAATAAAACATCAAATTAAATGATCAGCAAATAATTTTTTTTTCACTAAGTTTATCCTTTCACAAAATAACTTTATTTTATTATCTGATTTAAAGTGTTAAACTTTGATCGCAAGTATCTAACATAGGCCTCAAAAATAATAACGAAAAATGGTTATTATTACATCACATTTGTTTTTAACAATTGTAAAAAATTAAAGAAACTGCATCAATTAAAATCACAATAATCAGATGAGAACTGAAAATAATTATAATATCTTATATAAAAAATTTCTGAAAATATTTAATCAAAAGAAACCATGATCGCTGATTTTTGAGTACTAAAAAAAATTGCTCGTAATGTTTTTTCAATTATAACATTTTATCATTAAAACAAATTAGTTTAAATTTATTTATTGCTTGTTTCATTGACTATTGTAGTATTTAATTGCTAAGTAATGATAGAATTGAAAGGTCAAGTTTGTTATTTGATATTTTGGTCAAAATATTTTCAAAATATTAATATTATTTACCTAATATTATTTACCTAAAAAGTTTATCTACTAAATCTATATTTGTAAAAACAAACAAAAAAATAATTTATTAATAATTAATTTAAAAAAAAGAAGCTATTTGAATACATAAAGATATAGTTTCCCAAACAAAAAAATTGCTATTAGACTAATTAAAGTTGCCATTGGACTAATTAAAGTTTGGTTTTTTTTTATTTGAAATTCTGAGTTATTTCGAAAAAAGTTTAATGCTTAATTTTAGGAGATTTTGCTGAAAATTATCAATATGTTGTTCAGGATGAGGTTCAAAGTTATCACTGGAGCAAAAGTCAATGATCACTTTATACAATTGTACTTTATTTTATAGAGAATAAACTTCTCAAACATAAATCTTTTTGTTACTTTTCAGAAGATATTGACCATGATACAGGATTTATTTACAAGACTCAGGAAGATATAACTAGATATATCAAAGAAAATCTACCTGATGTATCAAGTGGGAAATACTTTTCCGATGGTTGTGCAGCACAATTTAAAAATTTTTAAAATTTTATCAATCTTTGTCATCACAGTAAAGATTTTGATTTAAATGCTGAATGGGTATTTTTTGCTACCAGTCATGGTAAATCCCCTTGTGATGGTATTGGTGGGACTGTTAAAAGAGTAGTGTGTGAAGAAAGTCTGAAACAAATAACTACTGGGCAGATTTTAGATGTTAATTTAATGTACTCCTTTTGTTAAGCCAAAATAAACGGAATTTGTTTTAAGTTATTTTCAAAAGAAGAAATCGACCAAACACGATTACAATTAGAAAAAAGATATTCAGGTGGAAGAACTGTTCCTGGTACAAGGATGTATCATCATTTTATTCCAATTGCTCCTAACACTATAAGTTATAAAAAAACAAGTATTGATATATGCACTGAAATATTTGATATCATTCCAAAAAGCAAACAAAATGTAGAGATTTCATTTAACATTAAAAAAATGGATTAAATTGCATGTTTTTATGATGGATTTTGGTGGGTAGGGATTGCTGAAGATGTAAGTGAGCTTGATATAAAAGTCAGATTCATGCATCCACATGGACCAGATAAAAACTTTTTTTGGCCAATGAGAAATGATGAGTGTTGGGTGCTAAATTCTGAAGTTATATGCCTAATTTCTACACCCACAACAATATCAGGACGTACATACAACATATCTGATTTAGATTTAGAAAATATAAGCTGTTGGTTACAAAAAAAAATTAATTACATTTAAAATAATTTTGTTTTTATTTTATTTACCTATTTTGCATTCAAAATTTGTCTTTTTTCTTTTTTCAAATTCTTGGATTGTAGGCTGAGAAGGTGGGGGTGGGGTTTAAATAAATCCCAATCTCCACCTATTATGTCAATGACTATATTAGTCTTGAACTACTAAATAATACCATAAAGATATTGATTGTTAAAATGTTTGAAAAACATTTCAATATTTTTTGTTTTAAAATTAATGACTTTTTAAATCGTGGAAAATAAGAGGTAAGTATTTATCGATTTGAAATAACTAAAATAAATTGTTTCTCAAACTTAAATTTAAAAAAATATATGTTTTTAAATTGTAATTTGATAATTTTTTATTATTTATTCATTTTATGTAAAAATAAAAAATAAAATTAAAATATCTCGGTATATGGGGAAGGGGGGGGGGGCCTAGGTCAATCAAGGCCCCCTGTACCTCCCTTAAACCATGACTATAAATGTCCTAAACTAGTCAACAAATAACACTATTTAATGTTTTACTCAAATAAATGTTTTAAAAAATATTTTAATTGCTTTTGTTACAAAATTTAAATTTTTCTGAAAAGACACCATTTTTAAATGCAAACTTTGATCAAGTATTAGAGAGACAATGAATCTACATTTTTTAAGAAGACCTAAGATGAAATAATGATATACAATTAAACTTTTTACTCGGGATTTTGGGCCACAGTCTTCATTTTACCTCCAAAAATCATTAATTTACAAGTCAATAATTTTGAACAAAATTGGCATTTCTTGAGACAATCGAGTCTTGAGGGTGCTATTTTTGGATTCCTCAAGTAAAAACCAAATGGAATACCAAATTTTAGGAAATTTCCCCAAGCCATTATGAAGATACTTAATTTCAAAGTTGCTTTGTAGTCGCTACAGAAAATCACTAAAATGCTGAGTCAGCATTAATTCAACTGATGATATCTCTGGAACCCATGTGTATTTTTGACTAAAATTTTCACAGTTATAATTTTTTTATTATGGACTACAAGTGGTGTAAAAATGAACAAATTCTGAGACGTAAGGGTGTCATGGTCTGAATGATTTCATATGGAATAATCCTTATGCTTTTATATGTTTAGTATGAATGATAAGTTATCTTGTATAACCTTATAAATAAGTTATCTTGTATAACCTTGTTTTATTTTATAATCTTGTTTTATTTAAGATAGTAACATGTGCTGTTTTTAGAAAAAAAATGTGAAAACACTTGAAGAACTTCTAGATTTACAAGTTATTAGTTAAACTTTTATCGAAAATAAAACTTGGTATACACAAAATATTGTTTTAGCAATTTACCATTAGACAACAAAAATTACCCATTGATTTTTCTACAATCTTAAAAACTATCCATTAAATTTTCTACATTCTCCTAAACATTTGACCTTCATCTGAAATCTATGTCGTTATAAAACATAGCATTTATATATTTATGGTATTTCAAATCAAGCATATATGTAATAATTCTAATTGAGTATGAGATCATCAGTGTGCATCTAATGCTGCATTTCATATATGTATATATATATATATATATATATATATATATATATATATATATATATATATATATATATATATATATATATATATATATATATATATACTCATATAGTGTCGCTTTAAGAGCATTTTAATGTAAAAAAAGTCTCTTACGACTACAATTTTAATTACCTCGTCTCTTAAGCTGTTTTTGATTGTCATCGAAATGTCAAAGCAATTAATTTATGCGGAAGTACATTAAATTTAATTGTTTTTTAAAAAATTTTTAAAAAACCGCAATTATAACGACTAGAAAGTTTTTTTTAATTAGTGGTGTTTTTGTTATTGATTTAATAAAAAACATTTTTTAAACATGCGTAAATGTTGCTACATCGACTATCTTATAGCCTGACTCGCAACGGAGTGCTGCTACATCGACTGACAAATAGCCTGACTCGCAACGGAGTGCTGCTACATCGACTGACAAATAGCCTGACTCGCAACGGAGTGCTGCAACATCGACTGACAAATAGCCTGACTCGCAAGGGAATGCTGCTACATCGACTGACAAATAGCCTGACTCGCAAGGGAGTGCTGCTACAACGACTGACAAATAGCCTGACTCGCAAGAGAGTGCTGCTACATCGACTGAGGGTTTGGTTTGGCCAGGCAGTCTATCAATTAAAAAAAAAAATTTAATATTTAAAACTTTTTCTGGTCTGGTTTATTAACGCGCTCTTTAAAACTACAGTTTATGGGAAATATTTTTTGATGCTACGCAAGAGACATGCAAGACTATATATATATATATATATATATATATATATATATATATATATATATATATATATATATATATATATATATATATATATATATATATACACACACACACACAAACACACACACACAAAATAAAGAATATTAAAAGAAAAGATTGCTGCATCATGCCAAACCTTCAGTCAATGTAGTGGCAAATGTTTGCCACTACATTCACTGAAGGCTAAAAGACAGTCAACAAAAAAAATAGCAATAACTTAAAGTTTTTTTTCACTTTTGGTAAATATAAGATTGCGCAATTTACATTGCTCAGATTTAAAGTTGTGCAGAATTGCGCAATTTTAGATTTGCACCTAAAGCACATTTTCGAAGAAAAAAAACTGAACTGCAAGAGTATTCAATTTATACATAACAATTTTTATTTTATTATTGAATAAATAAACTACAAATTTGAAACAATCTATAACCTGTCTGGCATCAGACATTAACCCAGAGACAGCCTAAAAATATAAAGAAATTAGAAAAATATAAAGAAATTAGAAAAATATAAAGAAATTAGAAAAAAGTAACAAAATACTTAAACTTTTTAATTATTTATTAAGTTATTTTTTATCACTTTCTTAGTGATAAAAAAATTGTTACTTACTAATTCCAAATTAATTAAAAACCAAACTATTTCAACTAACCATTCCAATATGACGATCAATTGAAAATATTCTTCTTCCAGTACCAGGTTCATATAATTTTGATGTTATCAATTTTTCTACACCAAACACAACACCATCTTTGCATCGCAACGCAACAGCTGTACTAATGTTAAAATAATAACAACTAATTGAACAAAATTAATAAAAACAAAGAAATGAAAAAAACATATCGTAATTTAAATACAAATATAAACTAAAATAAAAAGTATAAACTGTTTAGTAAAAATTCAGTAATAAGTAATGTAAGTAATTGTTGTAGTATTTATAAATTTAAAATTAATATAATTTTGAATTATTTTAAATGGGCCTTCATTCATTGCTTGATGATTAACCATTCATTCACTAGTTTTTTTAATTTTAAAAACAATTTTGAGCATGAAGAAACACTTACAGTAATTACTGTTAATGTAAGACGAGTTTGAGTTTTGGTTGATCGAATCAAACAAATGACGATAACTCACTTGAACAAAAGAATAAAAGAGATACAGTTTCATAAAAATAGGACAGAGGATCAAGCTTGGCTGATAGGTCCAACAGCATTTAAAAAGCATTTTAAGACTTTGTATAAAAGAGATAAGACTTCATTTGACAAACTAGCCTAAAGGTAGAGAATGGAATAAGAAGGAAATAGCAAGCACAATAAAAAGACAACCTTGGCAGATAATAACTTTGCAATTTAGTGCATGATAATTTGAAAACTGTAAAGTAGAGGACTCAGTAAGAGTGTTGCCATTTATCAATATAACAATATCAACAATATTGTAATAATTATTAGATGTAAACAATTGAGTTTTGTTTAGATCTAAACAATTGAGTTTTGTTTAGATGTAAACACACAGATAGATTTGAGAGTGTAAAAAAATATACGATGGAAAAAAAGTATTGAAGGAAAAATGATGTTAGACCTTTTAAAATACATATTTATAAAACAAAAAATCAATAGAAAAAACTTATGAGTCAGATAAGACTCATAAGTTTAAGTAAGACACAAGTGGAGTCTTAAACAAACAAAATTTAAAAAAAAAGTACAAATACACAAAATTTTTAAAATTGACCATACAGTAGTTTTCTTTTTTTTAGTTTTCAAATTTTCAGTTTATCTTTAAAACTATGGTAAAAAGAAAAAAAGTTGGCACTGCAAAGCAGTTTTAACATACAAAGAACTTTATATATTAATGTTACTTTCAAGAGCAATTAAATTTATAAAATAAATAAATAATTTTTGTTTACCAACAACAAGAAAATTAAACATCTTAAAATATCAATAAATTAAATGTTTAAATTAAAAACGGCAGCTTTATTTGCATATTTACAATTTTTAAGACTGTTTCTTAGCAAATTTTTTATTTAAATTAAAATTGATGTAACATTTTTTTGTATGTTTATAAACAAATATAATCTTAGAATAAAATTAGTAAAAACTAATTTAATTAAAGAACCTTTTAAAATCATTCAATAACTTTATTTAATACAAAACTCAAGTGCGCTAGTAAATTTTAAGTTTCAACTAATAAAAACCAAACTAAAATAAACCACATGGCTTAATATATTATTGCTTTATCATGCTTGCTGTTTTCTTACTCCTGAAATCTTTTTCTATAAATCTTTTTTTCTTCTTTGTACTGAATACTATTGTCATATTTAGGCTGATTCTTTTAACGAGATCCTCTCTCTTTTATATAAGATCAAATATTGGCAGCTAGAGCTTTGTTACATCTGCTTTAGCTGCCAACCTTGAGCCTCTCTCTTATTGTCATAAGGTTGCACCTCTTTCTCTATTCTACAAATACTAACATGGTCACTGCTTAAGAAGTTAATATAACTTGTTCCATCAAACAAAACTCAATCTAGCATGACTCATTAGCTAAGTCGCATCCTTTAACAGTAACTGTACTTTTGTACTTAAAAAACTTTTATTCATCTAGAACATCAGTGCTTTAAAATACTCTCTCGTACACAGTGCTTTAAAATATTGTCCCAGATACAGTCTTCAGAATTTGGAAAAATGAGGTTGGTAATAAATTGCTGACCTTAAACTGCTTGAGATTTTGTTAAATTTTAGTTGTTATGAACAAAGAAACTCAAATTAAAAAAGCTATTATTTTTTAACTTTTGAGATCCGTTTAGGTCTTAAAAATAAGAAAATATAAACTTATTTATCAACTGTTTGTTAAGACTACCTTTCCCCTCCTCATTGCTTTCTTATCTCCTTTCCCCCCCCCTCCCCATTTATTACATTTAGATAAAAATTTCCATCCATCCTTTTATTCCTTTAATTATTACTAATTAAAGGAACAAAAGGATGGATGAAAAAAAAGTCAGCAACAACTAATTGTTTCTTTTGTTGTTGCTGACTTGCTTTTTCTGTTTACTTGGTAACTTTATAAAGTCCTTTATAAAATTTTTTGGTAACTTTATAAAATCTTTAAAAATTATTTTTAATTAAAAGAATTATTATTTTTTAACTAAATTTTTTTTTTTAATTGTATTGAATAATTTAGTTAGAATTATATGAATTGGATTGTGGTCTTTGCTAAAACAGAAATAAAAAACATTGTCAAATGTATATCATTAGTAGATAAATTTAGGGTTGCCCATAAAGTACATATGCCTTCATTTCAACCTTCTGCCATCCCCGCATTTTGTTATATACTTTTTTGAGTACCCTCCACCTCCCTAAATGTACCTATGCTTTTAACCTACCAACGCAAAATTTTATATATTATTTTAATTTATTATCTCCTTACTTGTATAATAAAACCCACTGCCCTCCCATCTCATACACGCCGTTTGCAGACCTCCTCTTCCCCTTCGAGCATGGACATTCCCTTATTAAGCAACTTTTTTATTTAATGTTTCTAAGTATTTATTAAATTTTTATTACTGAACAAGTTTTACTAAATAAATTGTAATTTTTAAACAGTTGTTTTTTTATTGACCATTGGCCAACATTTGGTTGAGAAAATTATCAGTAAAAAATATCAATATTTAATAAAGTTTTCTACAATCACTTACATTTCATTATTTTATCACTTTCTACATTATACGTACCACAACGTGTTTTATATGATGGAGCATTTATTTTATTTAATTTGGCATTTAGTTTATAAAATTGAGCCTAAAAGATAATTCATAGTCAGAATGTAATAATCATTAGAATATCATAACAAGCAATCTACCTTTGTTTTTTTACCTAAAAATATTTTAAAGAAAATAGTTCTCACAACAATAGGTGAGGGACTTCCAGTTAGGCAACATACTGCAATAGTGGTAAGTGTTATTGGTAATTCATGGGGTGATGTTTCTAATTTTGTGCTATCTTTTTCAATTTTATTTAGAGTTGTGGAGAAACTTGTAACTAAAGGAAGAGAAATGATTATAAAACATACTGGTAACTTGCACTCAAAATTTAGCCTAATAAACTTGTTAAACTCTTTCAATCAATAGACAAATCAAGTTTTTGTGCGCATGTAATAAATACGGGGAGATAGGAAAAGGGGGAGGGGGAGGAAGGAGGAAAGGAGGTATTAATAAACAGGAGGGTAGGAATTTTTATTTCTTTAAGTGAGTTTATATTTTCTGATTTTTTTAACCAGAAAGGTTTCAGAAATTAGAAAATAATAAATATATATATTTTTTTTTAGTTATGAGATTGTTTCTTTGCTCATAACAAGGTAAATCAGTGATGCGGATTCCCAAAAGATCTCTGGCTTAATATCTCTATTTCTTCCTGGTCTCTGGTGTCCAGAAGCTCTAAACATGTTGGTTAATTTATAATCTGCAAAAAAAATTCATAACATTTAATGACTTAGAACTTATTGTTTTTAAGCCTGGACTCCTTGCTGGCATTATACCTAAGGACTTCGGGTTTAAAAACTAAATGTTTTATTTTTTTTACTATTAATAATCCATAAGGTTTTTCTATATTTTCAGAGCTCCTGGATACTAAAAACAAGGAAAAAGTAATCTTTTTGTGATTTTCAAATCAAAGTCCTTTTTAGGACTCCACAACCCTGAATAAAATTTAATAAATGAGGGGAAGGGGTCTTAATAAGCTCATGGTGGGTGGGAAAATTTTTTGGTGGGAAAATTATTAAACATCAACTGCTGTGTATTAAGCACTTTAGAGTACCACCTTTTTTTTATTTGATTTTTAATAACTCCTATTTTTTAAGTAACTTTAAGTAAATTTAATTAAATTCAACTTTTTTTTTTTTCTGTTTAAGAAAAGACAACTCTCCTATTCTTTAAAGTAACTCTAACTAAACTATTCAGGATGATATTTAAAAAAAAAAGAGCTACACTGCATTTTTGTAATTAAACTTGCCACAGTTACATTGCGATAAAGCTCAAAATTACAGATGTTATGTTTATTTTAATATATTTAATGTTGTTTTATTAGACTCCTTGCCTCAAATTATGTTAAAATATTTTCAATTGCACACAGAACAGAAACAATGAACAAAAACATTTTTAAAAAGAATTTTGTTGGTTCAAGGCAAAGTTTGAATAATCATATCTTTGAAATTATTTGGAATTAGATGATAAAATTTTGGGAATGTTCAAAGCTTATTAAAATCTTTGAGTGGTGTAAAAAATTAGCAAAATATGAGATTCTCTTTTAGAAAAGATGCAAAAATGCATCCTTTTTCTGTAGCTGTTCCTAAGTAGTGCTTCCAATACCGGTAGTACCGGTACCGGAATACCGGTATTACCGGACATTTTTAAGTACCGAAATACCTGTATTCTTTCTTTTTTTTTTTTTTTTAAGGTGCCCCAAGAAGTCCTTACGGTCTTATCACAGAGCACCGCGGAAGAGCATTTAATGGGAAGTTCACGACTCCTTCCCAACCGATGTCGCAGGACTTGCCAATTAAAAATATGTCTGATGAAAAAAATAAACCGATGTCGCAAGACTTGCCCATTAAAAAGTATTAAAAATATATGTAGAGGGCTTATGATATAGCAGGTGCTATCGCCCTCTTTACGTGAAACACTAAAGTAAATGAAATACTTAAAACTTTCAACAACGCTTCTGGTAGGAAAAAGATAGCTAGATGAGAAAAGACGTGTTTAAATTGTCTAAAACAAGTATTCTACGTACTTTATACTTGATATCTAGTTGCCAGCTCATTTCCCACTATGTTTGGTAGGAAATGAGCTACAACTAGCCAGCAAACAGCTAGCTAGTCGCTACCTGTGGGTAAAAGACGCGTTTAAGACGTATAAAATACGTAGAATACTTGTTTTAGACAATTTAAACACGTCTTTTGTCATCTAGCTATCTTTTTCTTACCGGAAGCGTTGTTTGATCGTGACTGGAAGTTTTAAGTATTTCATTTACTTTCGTGTTTTCATTAAATAATGAAGCACCAAGTTAAAATATTATCATTATGTCACTCGCTTTAATGTAGAATGCCTGTTTGAATTTTGCACTAACGCAAATATGAAAAGTTTCGGTAATGTAGAAAGTGGGACGTTTAAGTAACTGTTATCAACAGTTGTGCATTAGACATGGGATTCAACTAGGTATTCAAGATATTTTGTACAAAAAAATTCTGCAAAAAAAATTTCTGTCAATTTCTGCAAAAAAAACTTGAAAGTAATATGCAATAACAGAGAAAGTGACGAGGAAATACTGATGACACAAACAAAACCAATAATGATAAAGACTTTTCCGGCAGGTTTCAACTTGTAATGAGTGAAGAGAATGACTCTATTGAACTGACTGATGATCTGCAGTCGTTAATCAAAAAGGTGCGCACCGTTGTGAAATTTTTATTTTTCCGTTCTCCGACAAAAAATGATCAAAATTCAAAAACGCACGTTAGAAAAATTTGATAAAGATATTCCACTAATACTTGGATCCAAAACTAGCTGGATTAGCTTGCACACAGTACTCAAACGTTTTGTATAATTGAAAAAATGCATTCACGAGTCACTTTTTGCCCTTGAGTCCAAAGTTGAGGTAACTAATAATGATTTCGATGCAATATTAGCTGTTAACTTATGTCTTGCGCCAGTAAAACTGGCTGTGGAAACATTGTGCCGAAATCATGCAATTCTGTTGTGTGCCGATACAACATTTTCATGATAGATAACCTTGGAGAAACCGATTTAGCTGTAAAGTTATGTTGGTGCAACAATTCAATGAGCAACATACTCTTTTTCCAGCATACAACATTTTTTGCACAAGGGACATCAACGTTACAAGAATTTGGATCTAGCTCTATCTTTTGAGCACCATAGCAAATTAGCCATTGTAAATACCATTACTAGACTGAAAGATCGGCTCAGTCAGAAAGGGTATAGTCCTCTCCCTTTCACCAGCGTTTTTTCCGATAGTGATTCTGTGGACAACGCTGTAAACTTGTCATTGAAAAAAAAGCTTGACTTAGCAATTTTGAAAAATAAGAAATGTAACAACAAGGGAAAATTGAATGTTTCGAATAATTCATCAAAAATTATATGTATTGAAATAGGAATTTTTGAAGAAGGAGGAAATCATTGAATATATTTGCAAAATTCCTACCATTACTTGAAAACTGTGAAGCCAACAAAATTAGAGTATCTTTTGAAGATGATGTTCTGAATGCCCTATGTTTTTTACGGGCTCATTTTACTAAGCAGAAAAAAGCGAAAAATGAAAAAGTCAGTAGTTTTGATATAAAACAAATAAGCTGATTGAATCAATAAAATTTTTACTATTAACTTGAGATTTTATTTAGATTATGATGAATTTAAAAATAAAGTTTAATACCGGTATTATACCGGTATTACCGGTATTGTAATTATTTAGTACCGATATACGAAAAATGGTATCGGTATTGAAAAATGGTATCGGTATTGGAAGCACTATTCCTAAGTGCTCCAAAAACTCTTATTCATCTAGTTTTTTTCCTCAAATATCAGTTCTTTGGAATTCGCTTCCTTCATCTTGTTTTCCTGATTCATATAATTTCCAATCTTTTAAGTTGTTATTCAATCGTTATCTTGCTCTACAATCTTCATCTTTTCTCTTCCAGTAACTTCCAACTCTAATTAATGGTTGCTTGCAGTCTTGATACATATTTACAGTAAAAAAAACTCTTTAATAGTTTAAATAAAATGTATTTATTATAAACAATCATTTAACTTTTGTATTTTAAGTAACAATAATTTAAAGTAACAATTGCAATTACCAAATCTAAAGGTTTTATATATTTTTCTAGACTCAGAAACTTTTTTTCAGAAGAACCTATATTCTTTTAAATGAAAATTTGTATTAAACATATACACTTAAGATTGTATTACTCCCTCTTTTAAAATTTATTCTTAATTTGTTTTAAACCAATATTTTTAGAATATCGGTTGTACAATAGTGTATATATGTATATAAATTACATCCAGAACTAAACAAGTCAAACAGTATCAAACTTGGTGAAACTAATTTTAATGCAATATTAAAAGCGACAAACAAAGTGACTTTTTTGTTATTAGTTGGTTAGCTAAAATTTAAAAAAATTAAAACTTTTATTTTTAAGAAATATTTATAGTAAGAAATGTACTAAAATTTTGTAAACCATATTAAACTAAAAAATACCTGCTGTTTTGCACGGCTTTGTTTGCATATTCCACCTGAAACACCCTACCATCAGGAGAAAACTGATGCGCTGACAAATCATACTAAAACAAAAACCAAAAATTTTTTTAGCACTGACTCTAATTTTTTGACTTGAGGTTTTGAAGAAAATTTTAAAGATAAAGGTAGGAGAAGCACATAAAAATGGTAATTTTATGTTATTGATCATAATTTTACTATTGATAGTAACACAATAAAAATACTCATTCCTGATCTACAAAACAGATTAATGTCAGGAAGGACATTTGGCAGCCAAAAATATATTTAAATTATGTCATATATATAGAAGAAAATTGCATTATGGAAGCCTGTCGGTCTAACGCAAATGTGGAACAATAGACAATAAAATTGTGCTGAAAAATTATGCAAAATATAGAATGAGTTCTATAAGTAGTTATACTGTAGATTTACTGATAACAAGAAAAATGTATAAGAAAACATGAATTCAATCATGACATAGGAAAAATCAATCAATATATATTTTCACTTTTAATAATGGCATATATATAAATGATTAAAAATAAGAAAAAAAATTAATAAAATTTCTCATAGTTCTAGTTTTTAATTAGTTTCTTAATTATACGGACAAATAAAAATCCTGAATAAATTACATATGAAAACTTTTAATTGTCTAAAAATTATTATAAAAAAATTCATTTTTTTTTAATTTTCTTTTTTTATTCATCAAAATTTCTAGTTTATTCAATTTAACTTTTTTTTTAGAAGATAAGTTTAGCTTTTTGCCCAGAATTATCGAAACACTTTATAAGATAAAGATGCGAACTGCTGTGGTCAGTATGTCTAAAAAAATTTCTTTAAATGCCAAAAATCACTAACCTTATTTTTATATTTTATGGTAACCCCTTTGTGTAAAATTTTTTTTGCCCACCTGATACCGACCTCTAACAGTTTAAGATTAGTAATTTATTGCCGACCTCATTTTTCTTAATTTCGAGGGTTGTATATAAATATATATATAAATATAGAGCTGCTCCACTATCTGTTTATTTATTAAATAAATTGCTTATTAAATATAAAATTTAATTTTACTCTTATTACATATGATCTTGTTAAATTTTTACTCATGTTAACAGAATATATATAAAACAAGCGTGGTTTATTGTGCCTTAGATGAGCATTTTTTTAAGGTTTTCACACAAGCAATTTATTTATTAATCAAATTTTGTAACCAAATTATAAAAAAATGGGAAAATGAAACTTTGTTTTATTTCTTATTTGATGTAATAGCACCAAGTATTTTTAACTTTTCTAAATAATATCTAAATATAGAGAAAGAAAAGAAAATAGTTTTTATTTATGAAAAAATGATACTTTTACAACAGCCGTAAATTGCTCCCATAAACCACTTTAGGGGAGTGTGGGCGAGAGCAAGAGCTAAAGCTCTCGCTTCCTGCTGAGGCCTCTCTCTCTCTCTTTATATATATATATATATATATATATATATATATATATATATATATATATATATATATATATATATATATATATATATATATATATATATATATATATATATATATATATCTATATGTATATGTATATGTATATGTATATGTATATGTATATGTATATGTATATGTATATGTATATGTATATATATATATATATATATATATATATGTATATGTATATGTATATGCATATATATATGTATATGTATATGTATATATATGTATATGTATATGTATATGCAGGCCTTGCGATAAAGCGTCGGGCGATGTGAATTTTACGTCGTCCAAGGGCGATTTTGCGTGTAGCTAGGGCTATTTGCGTCGAGCAAAAAATTTTTTGTTTGAGTATATTTAAAGATATTTTTGAGCGGAATTTTAATGAAGTAATTTACGATTATTTTAACATTTAATAAAGTATTTAAAAAACCGCACGCAGTTGAAATAAAAAATTGAATTTAAAAAAATTAAATATGCTCATTATTTAGAAGTAGAAAAAATTCAAAAATTAAAAAAAAAGTTTAAATCTTTTAAGCTAACATTTTAATAAAATTATTCAGCAATAGCAACGTTGTCGATAAAATTGAACAAAAATACTTTCTTTTAGTTTTAGATTTTAAACTTAAATAATTATTTTACAGGGGTTTGATAGGTTTTAAAATTATTCCATAGATTTAAAAATATTTATTAACTGTTAGACGTATTTAAAGTATTTAAGAGTGATTTCGAGGAAACATTTTAAAAATTGGTGAGGGCAAATAAAAAAAAAAAAAGATTAATATCAAAACGTATTCTACTTGATTCAATAAAAAAGTACAGTTATTAAAATTTTTGTAAAAAGTAACTCAAAAAAATTACTTAAATAATAACGATCGCTTTTATGTTAAAAGTTACCGAAACTCATCGAAGCGTGCTCAAGAACAGCTGCTGAAAAATAGAACGTCAATAGTTTTTCGAATAATTTTTAAGAATAATTTTTAAGAATAATTTTTTCGCTGAAATATTTCTTTTATACCTATAAGATTTTTATTCTAACATTTTATTTTATTTTAATAGAAATAAAATTCCTTGTTAACATTAAAAATCTATTCAAAACGTTCGTTTAAGTTTTTTATTAATACGAGTGATTGTGCTTATCAACCGCTTTATGAAAATAAATAAAAATAAATAAATAAATATTATATAAAATCGCTTGTAAAAATATTAGCTATTGCACAGTTTTTAATCGTACAATATTAAAATTTCCAGTTTATTACTCGCTGACTTTTTAAAAAGAAAAAATAATTATTTGAAAAACTTTAAATTACATATTTAAGAAAAAAAAAATCAAATATTAGCATATTTTATAATCTTTTTTAAATTTAAGTTATAATGTTTTTTATTCGTTTAGTATAGACAAAACGTGACAAACGTCGAGAAAATAAACAAATGTTTTTACATTTTAAAAAACGAAACATTCCAAAACATTTTTAAATAATAACATTTCTACATAAACGATTTAAAGTAGTTTTGCGGTAATTAAATAAATTGGTGCAGTTAATGTCGATAAATATGAAAAGCAAATAAAAAGAATTTAATGACGTCAAAAATCGCGTCGTGCTTATGCGTCGCGCAGTTCTTATTCATCGCAAGGCCTGTATATGTATATATATATATATCAGGTTTGGACAGGAATGGCATATAATTAAGCGCTATTTCTGATCACGCAAATGAATTTATTTTGTGACAAATTGACCATGACTGTTTAAATGTTTAGATGATTTTATACATTTTAGAAATATGCTGAAAAAAGAAATGCTAGCTAAACTTTAACTAAGAAGAATTAGAAAGAAAAGAAAACAATTCCTTATGAAAAAGAAAACATATAAGCACTGTACTCAAAAAACTCAAACTCGAAGTGGAAATTACTTTTTCTTACATTTCTAATTGTTCTTAAAAATAAATTAATTTAAAACTTATCTGTTGAAACGTTTAATTAAAATTACGCAAAACACTTCTTACTTCAATGATTGTTTGATGAATAAAAAAAATTTATTTAAATTATTAAAAAGTGTTATATATTTTTCAAAAAAAAATTTTCTTTTAAAAAGTTGCAAAAAAAAAAAAAAAAATTTTTTTTTTAATACCTCAGTCTATTTAAACAATTAATTTTTAATCATTTCATGCTCTGATTAGTTAGTCAAGTTAAAAAATATGTTTTAAACAATTCTTTTCAAAAATTAGTGATACGTTGGTACAAAGGCCGATTGTAGCTAATAATAGGTTTTTAATGTATTTATATAAGGTTATTAAAATAATATTAAGGATGTTAATTACATGTACCTATACACCAGCAGCCAATGGCATCGGTTGATTAATCAGCATTGGTCGATGTATCAGCATTGGCTAATAAGCCAAACCAAACTGGTATATTATAAACTGGCCTTATATATGTAAATTACATACCTAATATTACCTAACCTTACTTAAATTACATACCTAATAACATCTTATATATGTAAATTACATACCTGATAATAAGACCTTTATATATATACATTAAACCTTATCATTAGCTTCAATTGGCCTTTGCCATCAGTATATCACTAGTAAAAATAGAAACAAAACAAATAAAGCAATTAAATAATTCTATTGCAAAGGAAGATTTAGTTTGGCTTATTCATAATTTAAAGTAACTTCGAAAATTATCTTTCAAAAGATTTTTAGAAAGTTTTAAAAGAAATTTAGAAAGCAATAATAGTTTCAAACTTTTAAATTTATCGTAAAAAATACATGCCTAAATAAAAAAAAATTAAATATAACATTATTTGTCAATTTACACAAAATGAATTTATTTTAAACATTCACTATAAATAATTTTGTTTTATTTCAAGACTTTGCGTAAAATAAAAACTTTAGAAAAGATCAACGATTAAAAGTTATTCATAATGTAACAATTTTTTTATAGCATTTAAATTATTAAAACATCAAAACCGCCATGGTCAAATTGTATAAAAAAAAGATTATAAGCGTGGTCAGTTAAAGCGTGCAATCGCATGCCTTTCCTGCCCAAGCCTGATATATTTATATATATAATATATTAACTTTTTTAAAATATATTTTACCTTTATAGAGTTTTTTATATAAATGACGCATACCTACATTACTTTTTAACATATATACAGTTTTATGTATAAATGTAAAAAAAAAATTAATTTGTCTTTTGTTGATATTATATGTAAACATATACATTCAGACATACCTACATATACATCAGTCATGGACAGGAAAGGCATGCGATCGCACTCCACTCTTAAGCACGCATGTAATTGTTTTTTTTTTGAAAGTTTGACCGAGGCTCTTTAGATAACTAAAAACTCTCTGAATAAAACCGACAAAGAAAAAAATATATAAACAAGCTAAACTAAATAAAAAAGAAAGAAATCTTAACGAAAAAGAAATTAAAAAAAATAATAAAACCTATCGCTCTAAAAAAAAATTAACTAATATAAATCTGAAAAGCTAAAACTCTAATAGAAAATTATTTTTAATTATGTTTTGTAACTGGGAGTGAATGCAATCACTGGGAGATAAATTAAAAAAAAAAAAAAAAAAAAACTATGTTAAGGTTGAATAACTCGTTGCTGATTTTTTTTAATAACAGGAGAATAGCAAATAAATCTTTTTTTCTTTTTTTCAAATGTCTAAATAAAAATATTTTTATGATTATTTTTTATTTATTAATGTATTTTTATATATCAATTTAAAAAAGAATACATAAACATAAAAAAATAATATAAATAATTTTAAACATTTAAAAAATTAAAAGATTTTTTAAAAATTCTCCTAATGCAAAACCAACACGACAAACTATAAAACTTTGATCTTTTCTAATGTTTTAATAAAATTAGGCAAACTCTTCTAAATAAAAAAAACAAACTTATATCTAATTATCATTTGATAAAAAACTAACTTTATTTAAATAATCAAAAAGTATTTTTTTTTTAAAGTTTATTGAAATGCATTTCCAGTCGTCTTTGTTTAAGAATACAAATTGTTTTAAAAAAACTACATTCATCATTAAAAAAAAAAAAAACTGTTGAAATAAAATTTTTATTTAATATTCTATGATAATTTATTATACAGCATTTGTAATAAAACTTTATTTAATATATATATATATATATATTATATATATATATATATATATATATATATATATATATATATATATATATATATATATATATATATATACATAAAACTTTATCTAAAAGCATTTAGCTTAGTGTAAACAAATTTCATTGAAAAGTTTACATAGCATAACAAAAAAAAAAAATTATTATGATTTCAACTTGTTGTTTATAAAATTAATTGCGCAATTGTTTTAAAAACATTTATATTCATCATAAAAAAATTTTAAACTTTTCAATAATATAATATCTTTCAATAACTTAAATATGTAATTTAAAGTATTCAATCTTTAAAACCAATTACTCGCTTTATTACCTTTGACTTCAGCGCATTTTCAAAAGTTATAAAATCTTAAAAGCTTTAGTAAAGTTGTTGCAAAAAATATAATAAAAGCGCAGTCAGGAATAGAGTTCAATTGCACGCTTTTCCTATCCACGACTGATATAAATAAACCTTTATACGTGCATTTATACACAAACGTATATAATTTTGCATAGATATATACACATGCACACATACATACATACATACATACATACATACATACATACATACATACATACATACATACATACATACATACATACATACATACATACACACATATATACATTATTGTATCTGTACTGTAATTAATTTTTCACATTTATAAATTCCCCCCTCCCATCCTCTGCATTGCTCCTGTGTCCACTACAGTCTACAACTACTAATGCTTTTTAAATTTTATTTGCAACTCTCTCAATTCTTAAATCAGAAACACAAACATTATTAAACAAGAGGGGCTGCACAGAGAAACAGATTTAACACAATAGTTTTAGAGACACAGGTGGATTTGAACCTCAACCTCTTAATTGTTAGCCAAAAGTTTTACTAACTTTTAACTAACATGTTCAACATGTTTTTTTAAAACTAGCTTGCACAAGTTTAAAAATTGCAAACTACAAGTTTGCAACATGATGTTGCAACCTTGTAGATTACTATCAATGGAGGTGACTATGAATTTTTAAACATTTTTGTGTTATAGATGAAAACTGTTAGCCTAATCATTGAGAATGAACAACCAATTTTGGGTGACTATATAACGCTACATGTTTTTATTTCTTAGATTATGGATAAATTTGTTTGGCAAGTAGATTTGCGCCTAAGCCTAGAATATCTATAACAGATTGGATAAAAACAGTAGAATATTAAGTCATAGGTGGCCAGCTAGAGTAACTGTTAGATTGCCAGATATGAGATTAGGTTTGTAAAAGTTTAAAAATATATTGTCTATAAGTAATTTTGATTTGGGTATAACTCTAGTAGGTTGGGTAATATAAGAAAATAGAGAGCACGCGGAATCAAGAAAATCAGAAACATCATTAGAGGAGTCATAATTTAGAAGATTAATGTTAAACTCTCCAAAAATAAATGTCTTTATTTTCAATGGATATTTCGTCAATGAGTATTTGCAGATAGAAATTATTAAATTTGACAATACACATGCAGGGATGGAGGTAGATGCATCCTATAATTTTTTTGTCTTTTTTTAGGCATATAATTTTAATAAAAGTTGACTCCAGCTTTCTTATTTTTGGATTTGGAAGTCAGGTCTTATCTTGTATTTCCAATCCAAGCAGACACTCTAGATTATCAATGTAATAGGTTAATGAAGATATATTTATATGAAAGAAGACTTTACAATCTTTGCTAATAGCACTGTTAAACTCAGAAGTATCATAGTATCCGTACTTTACTTTATTGTTATTGAGATTTTTAAAATTTTTAATAGGATTTCTAAATTTGTTTGTATTTTACCTACTAAATTATATGAAGACCCATTTGTACCATTTATAGTAAGCTGGAATTCATAATCTATCAGAGATGGAAGAGATAGAGTTTTTTCCAAACAATTTAAGCAATACCAACACCTACTTTCTGTCTTTAAGGAGTTTTAGGTTTTGGTATCAATTCTGTTACACTTAATATGTATCCATTGAGTCACATTGTAGTCCTATTGTTCTTTGCAAAATATTTATGACAAATATCACAAAAAAACTTAAATGAAATCAAATTTTAAATCAAAGTTAGACTTTAAATAGAGTTTGAATAAATATATAAAAAAGAATAATTAAAATAACAATAAAATTTTAGGCCCTTGACTAACAAGTTTTTTTTTACAGTGTTGCAAACATCAAATGCGAATGCGATAAAAGTTTCCTGCAACTTCTAACTAAATAGCATTTTTACAAAAGGAAAAAAAAAAAAAAATTTTGCAAATTTACGAGTAATAAATGTACAGAAACTTAAAAATATGTTAGGTAATTTACAAACAAAATGAATACTATTAGGAAAAAAAACTTTCAGGCCCTAGTAATACCAGGTTTTCTCATTTTTCAAACTACCTATAATCTAATAAACATACTTATAAAATAATAACATACCCCAGTTCCAATAGAACTCATTCTTTTATTACAATTGTACTTTTTATAATATTAAGCAAATAACTTGTAACAACTTTGCAGCTAACTTGTATTCGTACAAGTGCTGACTCAGGTTAGTGCTTAATTGCTGAGCTAGGAACTGGCCGATAGCTTAATAAAACCGTAACCAAAAACCGATATTAACATACACAAAATAACCAGAGGCCGTCTTTAAACGGACGGTTAAAAAACGACAGACGGTTTTTTTTTAACTAATAAATTAATGCCGTCTTTCTTACCAATAACCCATATATGGCTAGGGCAAACATCAAATCAATTGATTCTGTTTGTGACACAGTAATTAGAACAATGGCCTTATTGTTTTAATCTCTATGCGCTCAAATTTTATTTAGTCACAGCTGCTCAAATTTTATTTAGTCACAAGATTAACGGATTGCTTAACTCTGTAAACTAAAGAAATAATCTTACACTTGGCTGTCCTCCAGAGTTAAAAACTTCAGCAGAAGAACTCCCTCATTTATTATCAAAAAAATTAAACTTGGTCTAATTAAAAGAAATTATAAAAATTTTATGCTAGATTGTTTTATATATAACCCTGACCCGCCGCGACCCTTTATGACGCCCGGGATCAAAACTTATCTAGCGCCCTGTCATATTGATCTAATTCAAAAAGGTACTGTCCAAATACTGTTTTTTTTTTTTTTTAACTAAATTCACTTTTAAAGACTGAGGGAGTAAATACAGTCAAGGAGGCTTCTATTTATTTTTAGAATAAACTTGAAATAAAAGTAAAAAAGAAGCACAAGTTGACAAGTTACTGAACTTTACTACATTGCAAGTAACGAAGAGTTTTAATTGTAATAGATATTTTAATTGCTTCATGAGAACTTGACTCAACGGGAATAATTTAAAGCAAAATTTGAAATGACCTCGTTGTAGCACAGATTTTTTGCAAGATCGTATTCAATAGATATAACTAAGAAATTGGTAAGCCGGTCTTGACTTATTGTAGATCTTAATATTGTCTAGACTAAACTTACTAAAAAGATCTCTCTTTTGGCAATGAAAACGAGAATCGTGTTAAAAATACGTAACAAAATACATATTGATTCGAAGATAGACTCAAGACCTTTTTAATAGATTTCATTTAATAGTTTCATTGAAGTGAGATATTCTTTTGCACTGAAAAGCTTGGCGTGCATCAGAATATCTAGATGATGGACTTCTAAAATTAGTTTGTCTTCATCAACATTGTTTACATAGATTTGCGACAAAGTTTTAGATTTTTCCTCCAGACTAGGTGGTTCAACTTTCTTCACTCGACCTACTATTAGATTCCGAGAACCATAGGAAGGAGAAACTGTTTGCCAAATTTTCTGCAGCTCGAAATCTGTCTCTTATTTGTTGGATTAATGCATAGAGAGCGGTGTTCTTCAGCCGTTTTTCAAAACACCTTAAGGTAAAAAAAATCAAAATTGACTTTTTTAGAAAATAAGCTTATTTAGGCGTTTTACAAAAACTTTCTTGTATTATTATTTTTAATTGCGTTTTTCTTGAAATACGTAAAAAGCATCTAAAGGCGTTTTGAAAAACGAGTACAGTGTTAAATGCGTTCACCTCAAACTGCTTTTCATCGTTTTTGTAGAAATGAACTTCATTCCTTGCTTCTTTGTAAAAGGTTTTCTTCTTCCTTGTCCTTTTTGAACTAATTTTGACTAAAACCCATAACTAGCTAGTTAACCAAATGTGCTTCATTAATTAATTTGTGCCAAGAATATCTAAATTCATAAGATGCTCGATAGGAACCCTCATAAGCTTCATATCTTCAACTAAAGTAATGTATCCTGATTGAAATGACACGCCGACAATTGCTTGGCGCGCTTCAAACCAGAAAGTTGTCATGATAATAAACTCAAATGAATGAATCCATTTCTCCAAAGATTTTACGTCATTTAATAGATCAGCAGTTAAATCAAGTTCCTGAAGTTTTTTTTTTTTTTTTTTTTTATTTAGTATTGTATTTGCCGATTGAAAATAATTTACACTCGTAATTTATAAAAACAAATATTTACATGACTGGGGCTTGAAGAAGACAAAATTCATCTTATCATTAAGCCCCCCCAAAAAAATGCATATTCATCAAATAAAATATTTTAACAAAATGTAAAAAATAAAATATATAACGTTTAAAATATTTAGTAATTCAAAGAGTATTTATATTTAAGAACTGATTAGTAAAATAAGATGATATATAAGTATTAATATTACAAAAAGAATTTACAATAACATTTTTTAATAAAAATTGAAATTATAAAATTTTACAATATTTTTAGTAATTAGTATTTCAAATAATAAAACTTAAAAAATCGTTTGTAAATTCAAAACTTATAAGATAAGAAATACATTTACAATAGCAGACTATTGTTTAGAATATTAAATATAATATTAAAGAGTAATTAGTAGGTTAATTTTTGTTTTTGTTTGCTAGTTTAAAAAGCTTTTTAGAAGAACTTTAATTCATTTTCATGTATCATCAGTAATTGCTTAAGTTTTGTTTTAAACTGGTTTAAAGAATAATTAGATTTCAGCTCATTATTTAATATTGTATTCCACAGCTTAGGACCTCGATTTGCAATTGAGAATTTGGTTGCTGAATAATGTGTTTTGGATTGAATGTAATTGTTTTTGGAAAATCTGGTAGGGTATATGTGGTTTATTTTTTTCAAAAAGTGAATTAAATAACATTGGTGATATTTTTTTATCAAGTTTAAACATGAAGATAAGAATATGGTAAAGGTTTAGTTTATATACATTTAGAATATTAAGTTTATTAAATAATGTTTTAGTGTGAGAGAAACGGTCTACGTTTGTAATTATCCTTATAGCCTGTTTTTGTTTACTAAACAGTTTTTTTACTTTTGTTGCGTTTGTGCTGCACCAAGCAACGTTTGCATAATTTAAGTAGCAATGAATTAAAGAAAAATATAAGTTTTTTAAACAAGATAGGTTTAAAAACTGCTTGGCTTTATACAAAACACCTATATTTTTTGATATTTTATTTTCAATTAGACCTATGTGGTCCCTCCAGGTTAAATTTTCATCCAGAACCACACCTAAAAACTTTATTGATTGCTCTCTTTTTAATAATGCGTTATCAATAAAAAGATCAGGAAGTTTTAATAGAATATCTTGTTTTTTATGAAGACGATGGAACAAAGTGTATTTGTATTTATTGATGTTCAAAGATAGTTTGTTTGATTTGAACCATTGGGTTAATTTTTCAAGTTCTTTGTTTACTGTTTGAAATAATTTACTGATATCTTTACTAGAATAAAACAAGTTTGTATCATCTGCAAACAAAATTAAGTTTAAAATGTTAGAAAATTTATATAAGTCATTAATATAAACGAGAAATAAAAGTGGTCCTAAAATTGATCCTTGAGGAACACCACAGGTGATTGACTTATATTCCGTTTTTCCGCTATCATATGAAATAAACTGCTTTCTATTAGTCAAGTAACTATCAAACCAGGACAAATTAGTATTTATTATACCATAACTTTTCAGTTTGGATAGAAGGATTTGATGATTGACAGGTTCAAAAGCTTTACTTAAATCGATAAATACACCTAGGGTATACTTGTCTTCATCAAACCCTTTAAATATATCATGAACAAGGTGAGTGATTGCATGATCAGTTGAATGACCAGATTTAAATCCAAACTGTTTATGATAAAGAATATTATTAACATTTAAAAAGGAATATAGTCTATTATACATAACCCGCTCTAATATTTTAGAAAAACAAGAAAGAATTGAGATTGGTCTATAATTCGTAACATCGGAAGGATCAACTGATTTTAACACTGGAATTACTTTTGCAATTTTTAGGTTATCTGGAAAAACGCCTTGTTTTAGAGATAAATTAAAAATATGTAGTAATGGAATTGTAATTTGTTTTATTGATTTGATAATGACATTACTACTTATATCATCAAATCCTAAACTTTTATTGGGTTTTAATAAAGAGACTGCGTCTAGTAATTCTTTTTCTGTAAGTTTATAATTAGACATAACATTAAGGTTGGTTGAGGTTAAGTACGAACTAAAGTGTGATTGAGTAGTTGCTATATTAGGTGATAAAGTAGGACCTATATTTACAAAAAACTGGTTAAGTGTTTCAGCGACTAAGGATTTATTTACAATTTGTTTGTTATCAAATTTAAGATTTAGAGGAAGTAAATTTCTGTATAAGCTTTTTTTTCCAAGTTCCTGAAAAGAAAAAATCATTTCTCTAGGTTGCTTAACCAACGGCTTCAAAGTCTCAATTTGTGCACTCCATCGGGTTTGTAAGGTTTAATGAAGAGACAAACCAGTTGTCTTGGTCAAGATTTGACATTGTATAGGGCTTCCACTAAAAAGATTATAGAGTAACTGAATCCGGCCACAATAGTTCTACATTTCTACAGAAAATTCAAGGAAATGAACACCAGCTAGGTTAAGGTTATGAGCGCTGTATAGCATGTAGAAAGCTTAAGGTTTCTCTGAAGGATGATCGCTTTTACTCCTTTGTACACACCAGACATGTTGGCACCTTTGTTGTACCCTTGACCTCGAGAGTTCTTCAGATTGATGTCATTTTTGACAAAGTTATGGATATTGGCAATTATCTTGCCAATATCTATAACTTTGTTTTGTTTAAAATTTTCGACCTTAAGAGAGCGCTCCTTAACTATCTGTCTTTTATCAATACCATTGTAGACAAAGCGGAGAACAAATGCAATTTTCTCAGTATAAGAGACGTCAGGCGTTCCGTCGACAAAAATAAAATAGTAAATTACTATATGCGCATCTTTAATAATTGCACCGCGGACAATTCTCCGAGTTCAATCCCCACCACGTCCCTGGTAGTACCGCGCTCAACTTGTTTCTCCGCGCAGCGGCCTTGAAAGTCAAGGTTCGTGTTTCGGAGTTATAAAGTTGAGAGAGGGTTATAACCACTATTAAGTAGCCTCCTCTTCTGTAGTGGCTTTTTCGGCCTTGAGTTAGTAAATGACAAAAAAAAAAAAAAAAAAAAAAATTTTTCCGCACTTTTTTATAAATTCATTTTGGGAACTCCAACCCAAAAAATGCACAATAATTTGTTTACCTTCATGTTGACACCAGGAAACTTTCTGATGTAACTAAAGGGTCTTGTTGTGCTTTGCGAGTAGCTCTGGA